CCATACCCACAATATCGCCAGTTGATCTTCCGACCGCCCCAACAGCAAAACATTCCACCGCTACCCTTGAGTTTACCTGCAAACCAACTCCAACTCATAGCCAACCACTCCCGTTACTCAGACTATCAGTGAATCATACTGTGGTAGACAAACCTAATGTGCAACATGTACATGATTGACAGAGGGTGATGCTCCGTCACTTCGCCGATGTCCTGCTCGCTGAGGATAGCTCCAAGAGTTTTGTCCTTGTTACCAGTGACATTGGAAAGTGTTTCAAGGAGATGATGTCCAAAACCAGGACTTACCAGTTTCATCGGTGACATTTTCCAGGACTAAACTGAGCCATTCTATTTCACCTAAAACAGAAACCCACACGACCTGTGAAACGGCCCGACAGACCCACAAGTTCTGTCATTTCCTTTGCACTCATGAAACCAAGTGTATGTCTGAGAAGTTGCCCCTAAAATCGGGTTGCACACCTTGGATCCTGAAACGATCTGGCTGTTGTATGTTTGTTTATGCGTTCTGTGGGAAAAATAACAGCATGACACAAGCAGTTGGCTTGCAAACGAGGAGACATCATCAGTGCGCAGTGATGATGTCTCCTCGTATGGTGACGAAACGTTTGCAAACCAATTGCCAAGCTCGGCGAACAGATCAACAGCCACCTGGTCAACAACCAATAAACTCACCCGAGCTACCAATATTTCAACACATTACCAGCATGACACAACCCAAGGTAGCATCAACATAGGCACTGCGATTATACGGCAATGGGTACCTATTCGAACTTACCAACAATCCAAGCATTCAAGTATTCTAGAGCCGCCCGCGTCTTTTGAAGCAAAAAGGACTGACATTTCCATGTCACAGATGGCAGCAGCTTACGTTAAATGTTGATCAGCTTTATTTAATCGTGAACGCTTATGATCCAGTCATCAGTAAACCTCTCTCCCATGAATGGGGAAATACCAGCGTAGTTCCACTCAAGTTAGAAATATTTTTGGGTCGATACTCTATACGGATGTCTTCTATACGCTTTGCCACTCGGTAACCAATTGTCGCACTCAAATTTCATACCAGTTAGCTCATCTTCGTCTGGACTCTACCAGCCGACCGTCACTAGCTGCAAATTTCGAATAACTCTGTCTCGCCAAATGTCCAGGCCGCTTTTACGTGAAAGAACCAACTTCTTTTCAAGACCATGGCCTTCATTCCACTGCTTCTTGGTATCGTTCTCTTTAAAAATGTACCGACTTTGATAGTAGTTGACATCATATTCGTCCGCACAATTTCCACCATTCCATTCTGTTTCCCTGGAACTCACGGAACTGAGCGCCTCGGTAGGGAATGAATGTCTGTGGAGAAGCATTATTGAATTCATCTTAGTATCATACCAACCACATGCTGACAGACGATTGATGAGTCGTGACCTGTTTTGATGAATACAATCCGGTCAAGTTCGGTGCAGTTCAGTTTCTCAGAGATAAGTCTTGTACCAAGTGTAACCCAGTTCCGATGCGCGACGAGTCGAGAAAGTGGGATATAGCCTAGCGTTGGCGTTGACGGTAAAATCAGTGAGTTCGAACTGAATCAGTTCAGCTGTTTACACGAAAACGAGACTGGCCAGCTATGTGTTGAATGTGACAGCTTTGATCCAGCAGCGTTATTGACTGCGTGATTAAGCCATGTCTCCTAGTACCATTAACAAATGATGGATTGTGTCCCAACATCCCTATCCACTAAAGAGACGATAGTTATGACTAATGCTATCACATTTCACTGCTAACTCGTAGATTGTTCACTTCTCAGTCACCTCCACTCAGAATAGGGCCCAGTGAAAAAAAACAGTGAGAAACAGAGTCCTTTGGCACGTAATGTACAGTGCCTAGCAGACGTAAACAACTGAGCACGAGTAGCACATCCTTCGCCAGCCTGACCAGAAGTTACCAGTGTCGTAAAGCCAGAGGAAAATCAGAGCGATGATCCCGAACGCCGCAATGACCAGAACTCCGTTTCGCATAGTACAACGATACCAGCAAGACCACCAATACACAGGCGAAATGCTGCGAGCCACTGCACTACGATTAACTGCAAGACCAGGCGGTCACCTGACAAAGCCGTACAGTGTTCTGTGATGAGAGCGCGGTAGTAGTAGAGTCCTCCCTTCAGCCAACTATCATGTACATATTTTGCCCACTCTCAAAGAAATACGCCTCAGAAAACGCCGGCCCAATAACCAGACATTCCGATTACCCGAAAATACACCATTGTCGTCAGCAAGCTATCTTCCAAAATCGAAACGCATTTAAGCCATAAACAGCATGATTTCCCTCCCAAAGCACCCGCTATTCGATGCGGCATCCGAAGCGAGAGACCTTCGTTTATTTGCTACGTCCTTGGCATAGTCCAAGTTCGAATAGCTCGCACCCTGCGCTTTTTAAAGGAGGTGAGTAATCTTATTACCCTAATCAAGAAGATCGAGAGCGAAAGCAGAATACACGTGAAGTAGAGCGTCTGGTCGGTGAGCTAAATCCTTAACACCGTCGACAGAACGTTATCGGAAAACCATCGTGCTATCAGCCCGAAGACCCAGAGACTCAAGGATATTTTGGAATTACTTCATCCCGACAAAAGAAAAAGAATCGTCCAGCTATAACACCATTTCGGTTCCTAGCTGCCATGCCACACGGGGGCTGGGATACTGCCAGGTTGCCGAAGCCTATACAGGAGAGGGCGAGATGCAGAGGTCGGGTTCGAACCACGGACCTTTTGGTCAGTGAATTCGCATTCTAACTGTTGACCCATCCCCCCCCCCGATTGACCGCTTATCCGGACAAGCGGATTCCCGAGAATCAAGTAGATGTTTCGCACTGAACGCAGATGCATCGACCATAATTTTAGCTTAACACAAGTTGTCGAACAGCATTATTCTTTCACACGCCCAACGACGGTAATTTTTCTCGATCTGAAGGCCGCTCTTGACTCTGTCCATCATCAGAAACTATGATGGTGCCTGGTGATCAGAGATATCTTTTAAATTCTTGTTCCCTATGGGGGCACCCTATGCAAACTCTCATGGATTCGTGTGGGTATATAGTCAGCCGTCGCCTGCGTTTACCACATCCAGTGGCTGTCCGCTCTCACCATTCCTCCTCAACTTTTTTAGTGACGAAGGGCTTGAAACTGCCCTACCAGTCTCTGAACCTTTTTGGTCCATACTCTTCAATCCTTTTTAGTATGTGCTTCACATCTGCAATGCTTAAAGTTTTGCTACCAGGCTGATTGGGATTGCGCGCAAACCTCATGCTTGCAGAACAGCCAATCGGCTTGGACATTTGTATAAGTTTCGATGGACTGGCTGGAGACGAGATCACTTCTTGAATCGGGAAGGCCACTGCGACTTTTGCCGAATTCGACCCAATTCAACTTGTCTAGTGGGTGAAATGAGGTCGATGTGATAGTAGAAACTTGTATGTTTTTCTTTTATTTATAGTCGAAACTTGCTGCTCGAATGCAGTGTTTCCTGTTAGGTAACAAGATGGTAAGTAGTTCACGTTGTATAAACTGTGAACGATAAAAATTGCCTGATTGTTCATCCACAGGTTATGAGGTTCTCATACAAAGGGGATGCAATGTGAAAAAAGTCGGAAGCGTCTAGACACCTCGTACTTGAAGTATTTCTTACCCTGATGTTTTATTGTAAAAGGTGAATACCATACAACTTTAGTGGATAAAAACTGGAGTGGCTGAATGCTAGAAAAATCAAAAATTGTGTTCTGGTACCTCGACCAGAACGGACTTACTACATAATCTCACAATGATCGTATACGAAGGCTCAAGTATAGCTGCCAAGCCGCCCAAAATGACTGAACGCCAAAGGCTGTCATTGGTATGGTCGGTTAATGTGAAAATGGCGAGAAAGCTGTGCAATCGTTTACCTAATGTATACCTTTATACTCAGTACTATTATGAATTTTGGAAGTATTTCGGAGCTTTATTAATGTACGTATCTGTTATGTATATGCGCATGATAGATCCCCATTGATATTTGTTTCAACCTTCGAACATTCAAGGTAGCAGACTAAGAACTGATCTATGGTCCCCATGATCTAGCCCATCATCTTTTAGCCTCTTAGCTGCTGAATCAATGCTACTGAACACTATATAACTTTCCTCTTGCTCTGGAACTAAGCAACAGAACCTGATTCTAAAATTTGTCGCGGTAGAAATTGACCGGATTACTCGAGCAGCAACCGTTAACAGTTTACTCCAAACTATTCAACTTTACGACTTCGTAGTGATGTCTGTGATTTCAAGCGTCTAGCAGTAAGCCAAAAAATGACCTTTGGTAAACAGCACTCATACGGAAACAGACCATCAGGTGTGATGTTCTGCTCCGATTCAAATTAGGAAGGTGCTGATGCAAGGCAAAGTCATACGTGAAAAACACTCATGTATGGAAGAGAACAACACTGTTGATTCAAATCCCGTCGACCTTTTAACGTGAGCTTGTCTACGCTTGACTATTATTAGACTTCCTAAACACAGAGAGCTATCCTGGGAGGGTGACGCATAAAACTCCCCAAATACAGCGCAACAACTTTGTCAACAACTATAGTTACGGTATGGTAGGTCGCGCGTCACGTGTTGTCGCATAAATTAGCCTGTCTAATGTTGATTAAGCAAACATCGCAAGATTAAGATGTGATCCACCTAATCAGGTATCTCTTTTTGAGTAAAAATAAGTTACACGTAGCTCTGATCACGCAATTCCCAGGCTGCTGTCAACACTAGTGAATTAACAAAACGGTAGGTATGGGTGATGTGCACACTATAATGGTTGCGTGAATACACGTGGTGACTGGATGTGAAAATAGCACGCACCAAATTAATGACATTCGGCGGGGACCAATGACGCGTACTACTACTGATACCACTAAGATTATTAGTGCTAAAGTGAATTAGAATCAGGATAAAGAAGTACTTCCGAAGTGCTGCTCTCGTAGACCATGATACTTTCCTCATACTTTGTACGTAACGTTTATCCTGATAAGATTTGGGAATAAGGTTACTTGATGTCTACATGTATATGCATATAACGTATAACAGCGTATAACATATATACATACAACGTTCTAGTAAGTAGTCGGTAGTCCTACCGCTGAAGTAAACCAGAGACTGCGAATCGTTGGCGATCCTTAAAGCTTATCCCCCTTGTCAAAGTGTCTTGGTGTTGACAGCGTCAAACAACCGTGAACAAGACGAGCGCTGCACCAGATTAGAGAAGCGGGCACTCAAAAATCTGACAGACTACTTCACGACAGACCGTAGCCAATATATTCCATCTTGAGGAGTTGACCCATGGTGGTTTACTTTAAATGTGGCAGGTCAACAAACACAACAAGATATTTCGGGCTTCACACGATGGATAATGACTGACCGGCCTCATCAAAAGCAGTATCGATATCATGCACTCGTGACTAACCTACACCTTCGGTTGACAAACCAGAGTGACCATGCGACATTCATAGAGCCACTCATACCAGGTTGGTCAAGGGGTCATTCTCTTCAAGTCTGAGGGTTAGACCACGAGTGGTAAATTCCCTCCAACAAATGTACATTGCTCTGGAGGTCTTACTTCAACCACCGCTATTTCTCCGTTAGGATTTTGAGTCAAAGGCTTTGGTTGAGGACCACAATCACTCTCCGGTCTACACTTGAGTGCCTTGGCAGTCTAGCCTATCTAGAGCCATGAACTGCACAACTACTTAACCTCAAATCGCACTGGCCGTCGGTTGGGTCGCCTTGCTGCATACAACGGGGAGTGTATACGAAAACAGGCCATTGTTGATGCCTCGCTCTTCTCTCCTCTTCATACGTTTGAAAGCGATATCTTTTTGGGTACATGGCAGATCCGTTCGCCACGCGTTGCTGTTAGCTGCAATATTCGCATTTAACCCTGGTCACCGTAACTTTTGACACTTCGAAATCATTCTGTAAACCATGACGTCCATCCTGTCTGGCAGTCTATAACGTGTGCACTTTGAAATGAGCTGGACAACGGTCTAATTGTATGCTCGACTCGTCTTCTGTTGATATGTGTAGTTTCTTTGAAACGAGGTCTTAAGGCTAAAATACAATTCTTTAACCGACCCCCTTACAGGTTTATTTTCGTTTCCAGTTGCGCTCCTCTTGTGACTGAGAAGTCGCAGTGCGTGGTTTCATAGGGGCTGGCGTTGTTTCAAGCGATTGAGCGGAAAGGCCTCTGATTGACTGAATGCCCCTAGTAGTCACCTGTTTCTGGTTCTTTTTGTTATATTTTTGAAAGGATATCGTGAATGTAGTGACAATCCTTGCCTATTCATTGTATTTGCTTACAGGTCAACACGTGTAGCCGTGAAATTCATAAAAAGAAAGGAACAAACGAAGTTATGGAGTCCGCATGCTGTGTGTGCTGTTTGCCGTCCAAAATGGGACCCATATTAAAGCTACTGAAAGAAATGCCGCCTAACCAATTGTACCCGCACTCATGATGTCCGTTCCCATTCAGATTGTCTGACGGGTAGCAATCTCGAATGTTTGTGCTAGGCTAGCCTCAATTCTCTCTGTCTGTTTCATTCTTCGTTAATTGCTTTACAAAGCTTTTTTTAAATAAACTGCCATGGCTGCACGGCAGTGGAACACTGTTCTTCTCCGATGTTGCTGCAAATGAGGATGCTAAAGCCACCACTTACCATCATTCCATAATTCTCAAGATTCTTATATCTGATACACCTCCCTTTAAGACGTGATATCGTTGGGAAATCTGCTGTTCAGTTTAATCTCCTTTGCTGATCGCTCATCGGTTATGTACTGAGCATTGCAACTCAACGAATTCCACAGAGCGTTATCTTTCCAGAACTGGACGAAGGATGGAGAAAACATTGAGCCAACCAAGCAACGACTAGGCGCTGAAACATGGCTACCATCGGTTAGATCGTGTTCCAGGCCTGAAGGACGATTATTCCATTTGGCTAGCAGCTTTGACGGAAACCATTCAGAATAGCCGAACTCAGCAAACAGACATCTCATCTGCGTATACAGTTTGCTGTCTCTAGGCCCAGAAGTTCTGGTGATAGCCTTGCATGGAGCACATTTCAGCTCTCTGGCTCCCAGTTAGTGGTCATTGCACAGACGAACTCCAATTCGTATCGTTTTCACCCGTTCCTACTCTCTGGTGCTTCCGGTTTCCACTTCACAAGTCAGCAGCTTTTTTACTTTCGACAAAAATATCCAGACATTGAAAATTTTACCGTTCGCTAAACATGTCCCAAGCGTGGTAGTTGGTTTAATGTGATCGTGATCTCTATCCGACTACCGCACGCCTGTCGGAGCACCTCCACGTTCGGAATTCGTTCATTCTAGTGAACATCAAATATCCGCCCCCTAGGCAGTGTCTGTGAAGGCTGTTCAAGTGTTGGGGGGGTTGTAATAAGACGAAGAACCCTGCTGTCGGGTATTCTCGCAGGTCAATGCGCTTCAGATGCACTTGTAGCAGCAGCTTGCAGCTTGCGCTTGCAGCTTTTTCCCCAAAGAACTGGCAATACGAAACCACATTCAGAAAGCACAACATAAAGGGGCTGTTCAATTAACGTATCACAAAAAGCTGTGCACGAACAGGAAAATCAGAAGATTCTCTAACGCAGTAATCCCGGACAAAAGTAGTCAGATTTTCAGTGCTCTTGCTAGTAATGAACATTAAACGGACTTCAACAGATAGCAGCCGACCTAAAGAAACGACAGAGCCACAGGACAAACCGTAGAACGGATAGGACCGTCGTGTTTAAGTCAGAAAGGTCGGACCCGAAGGCTATCTGGACGCTTACAAGCAATAACTCAGTCGAAGAACCCCACCAATAAGACCGACTGCCTAAAAGACCAATAATAAGCGCAGGTTAACACAATGCCTATAAATTGCCAGTGGTATCTTACTGTGAACTCACGATTTCTTCTCGATTGGCACCAAAGAATTTGTGGTGAGCCCAGTGAAACTCTAAAATCAGCCATTCTGATGGATCTACCAACGCGAAAAAACTTCCAAAGTTCACCTCAATTAGACGCATTGTGATTGCCGGATATACCCGGCAACTGGATTCGCTGACTACAGCGAAAAATAGATATTACCCTACTGCTCAAACTTAAATCGCTAGCCAAGAGTTCCAGAATCACGGAACGTTCGCAGACGCTTAATCTACGTTTGACTGTACACTTGCGCTGAGAAGTACGAATGCTATTCGCAGAAGTGAAGTTGGTGTAATTGTTTCTATAAGTGGTGTGGTAATGAGATGAGCAGTTTAAACTGTGAGCAACTATGTCAACTAGTTATTTCCTTTACGTTCACCTGTGCGACCTCGTTAGGCCCCCTACCACACTTGGTTACCAACGGGCCTTCCGCTCAGTTGGACATCCGAAAAAGCAAAACTAGAAGCAGAAAGTATCCAAACAGAGGAGTCACGCGTCTCGTATGCACCTTAAAATTACGCCTTTTATTTTAGGACTTCGCTGGATTTTCACCCACATGTTCATATGGGAGGCTTAAGACGAAAACAAGATCTGATGGGCGAGCAACGCTTGATCTGTTACTGTTCAGTCATTAATCATGCTTTATGAAATCCTAACTCCACTTGGAATTTTCTTTGTGGAAAACTTGAGATTCTTGTGAGATCTCCCTGTGAAATACGCGGAGACATTATTGGAGTCGACGTGAAAAAAACGTAGCAAACGTAAGCTCTAATTTAGTATAAGAGGCTTTTTGCGTGGCACCAACGGCGCGGACAAGGCCGAGAGGGTAAAAATAAGTGAAAAACTCAACATATGACAACAGACGATGAAAAACCATAAAACTTACGTGTTTGACACGGCCGTTGATTCAGGAGCTCCGTTGCTGGTGAGGTCGCCTGCAAAACTACTAACTTGTGGTGTGCCTGTTCTGCAAGAAGGAGAGGGCGCGACATCTTCACATTTCAACCTGGTACATTGGCCAGTTGTCGAATCAACAAACGCGGATGGCGAATCCTGGAGAGGGCCATTAGTCAGGGATTGACATACAGCCGCTTGTTGTTCCGCCTCAAAACGAGCCTTCTCAACTAGTATATTCTCGATCGTCCGACGATTCTGTTCTAATTTGCACATGCGTTTAGTCAGGTGCAGTCGACGGTCCGGCACGACTGCCATAGGCTGTATCAATCCTGGAGAGGGCCATTAGTCAGGGATTGACATACAGCCGCTTGTTGTTCCGCCTCAAAACGAGCCTTCTCAACTAGTATATTCTCGATCGTCCGACGATTCTGTTCTAATTTGCACATGCGTTTAGTCAGGTGCAGTCGACGGTCCGGCACGACTGCCATCAGGCTGTATCGAACATCCTGCCGAAGGGATTTAATGAAGTTTTGGACGGTCTTCTATAAGGTCCTGTAATCACCCAAGCGTCAGACTAAAGAATCCAATACGACTCATGCAACTCACTATATTAAAATGTCTATCAGGAGTAACAACGCTAAACATATCAAAATGATTCAGAGTTAAATTTTTAAAAAGCATGACCACTACTAGGCATATATGTAGAAAGAGTAGAGTAGAGAGTAGGTAATTCCACTACCTTGAATACAGTAATTAGGGTGGACAAACATAGCCAAATACAGTATATGAGGATTGTTGTGGGCAGTCAGTGGCATTCGTGTATCAAAGCTATCGCCTTCAGGGAGTAGCTAGCCGATTCTCGAACTAACCGAACACGCCATCGCCTCCAAGGCTTGGCCATGTATCCCGCACATTCCGGTGGGACAACCTGAAGGATGGCCGTTACACGTGTCAGAAGGGCCACTACGGAACGTCCTATTTATTGTTTTATTCCAGTGACAATAAGCAACCTGTTAAAAGAACACACTGACACATTTCATTTCGTTCGTGCCAAAGAAGTTTTACGTTTTAAATGTTAAACAAGGCGCCAAAACCACAAAAGTAATGTATTGCTTGTGTCCAGATGCACGTCACTTTCAACGTCAAGGCGATTCGACGGGCGTCACGAGCCGGTTACAGAGAGAACGAAGGCATGCTCCGATCGATGAGTGTCAGTCAGTCAGGATCGAGAATCTATAACTCGGCCTTTAACGCTATCCCATGAAGACCCTAGCATGACCTCGCGAAACACTCCATGGTAGGCTCACAGAGAAAGCCGCAATAAGTTTCCTTTCTTTCCATAGATGGCTGTCTCAAGATACCGTGCCTTTTGATATACTAGAGTGGGCGGAACAGAAAGCCAAGGACCGGTATCGGAGTTAGAACACCGTCTGTAGTAAAAAAAACTTGTTTGGAAACAAACACCCCAGAAGAGCTGGACTGCGACTGCAAATGTGTAGTGCTTTACTGAGTACAACCGGAACCCCTGTGCTGACCCGCGTATTGCCTTTTCGAATGAGAGTAGTGGACTGGTCTAGCTTAAGATCAAGACTTGTCAGGATTATACAAAAAGTACAGTGTTCTCGTGAAGAGATGCGTCCTCTGGGCTAGCCGAAATCACGCTATTCTTGGCAGTACAATTACTCATGAGACAAGCATCTAACCATGCAGTTACACAACTTCTCCTCACAGCTCCTGTTGATATGAAAAGTTCGCTTGAAAAAAACCGTATTCACCAAAACGGAATCAAAAATTCATCGTACATCGTTTATCTGCCTCCACTTGGAGACAACTGCTATGAGTAATTACCCTAGAAGGTATTTCCAGTTGACGAGCAAGTAAAAACTACCAATTGAGATCCGCGTGGGATGACGCCTGGTGGGGTGTTGCATCACTTTTTGGTTTTAGCTTCTGGTGCCAGAAAAACTTACTGTCACTGTTAAAACGCGTGCTCTTTGGTTTCAAAAATCATGCGCACCTGTGTTTACTGATACTGTCGGCCACAGAAACAATACTGTGTTCCTTGCCTTCATAAGGGGAAACTGGTATTGATTCCCTTGAGCCACAGCAGTCACTGAGTTGGGGGAGCGTAGAAATGCACTCGGCTGTTGCGTAATGCATCGAGAGTTCGTGAGGAAGCTGAACAACGACCCCCACATAGCCTTATGCGAACAGAAACATGCACCCTCATTTCCTAACTTCGAACGTACTGGTGCTATCGATACCATGAAGTCGGAATGGTTCTTGTGTTTGCGCCTTTCATTAAGTTAACCTATAGGCACAATTTTATGGAATTCTTACGCTTCCACATCTCACGAAGTGGTTTGCCCAAAATGTGAGAAATCATGTCGAATGAGCTGTTCTGAAGCAATCCGACAGAAGAGGAACATATATAGCTATGAAAACTGTGCAGGAAGAATGCGAATACTGGTGGTGACACCCGTCAGTGGCCACTCACTTCAAGAGGTGCTGGAGTTGCCGTAACCAGAATTGTAAGGCTAATGCCTACATCACGAGGAAGTTGTTGGCACGCCGTAACAGATAAGGTTATGTCATCACAAACATAAATTGGAAATGGCGTTGTCCGGCAGACATTTGTCGGCCCTGTTTAGCCTGGTACTTAGTTGGAAAAGTCCTTCCAAGGTTCTACCTTAACACCGTATCACATGGTTCACCAAAATTTGATATCCGACTAATCAACACCAACTCCCTCGACAAACGCACACTCGATCTGCTTGGTTCTTCTGATAATTGTAAGTTAAACGCACGTCGCCACAATTGATTCCTAACTGAAGCAAAGTTCGTATACACACAAGGCTGCGGAACCAGTGGAAGAAAGGAATTGCTCGTAAGACCACCTCAGTCCGCTGGGGGACAGTTGAACCACTGACTGCTCTGTTTTCTTCATCCGAACAATTCAACTTAATATGAGCATACAACCAGCTACTTAAAATTTTGACTGACCGGTCAGATGAAATTACCCTACGTCGTTGGAGCAGCTTCAAGGGAGAAAATATACCTATAAGAGGAAAGCGACAAGCTGTCAAAAGGTTGACCCAACTGATTAAGATTGAAATTCATCGCATGAATTGTTGATCAGCACCGAAACCCATTGCGAACGCTTTGAGGCAGTTTCATGGTAAATGGTGTAGCAGAGCCAAATAGGTTCCGCCATGAATTTATTGGACCTAGAAAATAACCAACTATTTTCAGCGTCACTGATGAGTATCCGAATACCCACAGCACAATGCGCAATAAGGCGCACAAGATGTTTCATCAGCTGAAGGCTCGAAGAACATATGGAGCAGATTCCCTGTTACGTCTGTGGGCCAAGTCTGCTAGCCCACCACGTGTCTGTATAATCACTGCTGCACTCGAACTGGTAGTCATTGTGTTCCCAAATGGAATCCCAAATAAAGCCCTAGCAGTCAGTACTACGCGAAACCCGACGACTTGTTGTCATGGCACACACCATCCCCACAGCAAAATCCATAAAACTCACAGTAAAAAAGCAAACTTACTTCCTGCATACGTTGCCTAAGAATTTCCACACACTGTGTTGTCCATGCATTCGGAATTTTCGGGTCACGCAAAGGGCCGTGATTGATTGGATCCGATTTGAGGCCATCAAGTTCGTACAGAAAGCCACCAAAGGGTACATAACAAACGAAGTGAAAGGTATCTGTTTGGGCAGACTCAGTTCGACCGCCCGTACTGGAAGAAGAGTCAGTCGCCGAAAGCGAGTTCGACGGCGTCCCCTGGGTGCTTGCTAAGGCTGCTGACGCGGCGGCTGCAGCGGCCTCAGAAGGCTCGGGCATCGGAGGCGGAGAGAGAGCTGAATCCAGACTGACAGAAATTGGTGGTGCTGCGTGCCGATTGTGAGCCTGTGCCAGTTGAGGCATATTTCCGATAGCCATACCCTTCGCCTCCGGGGGGAGATACCGAGTGGCACGCTGGAACTCGTTCAACATTGGACCAAGATCCAGTTCCGGTCTATTGAGGAGTACGCTTAAGAGGGCGTGGGTAGCACATGAGTTTTGAACCGTCTGGCGAGCGAAAAAGAGTTCGTTCGACTCAGTTGAGGACATCTGGTGCATCGGGATATCTGAACCTTCAATGCGCTCATTCTCATCCAATCCCAGTGAGAATTGTGCTTCCCCGATCGAACCAGATGTAGAGCGAATGCGAGCTCCAGACGATTCCTTTTGCAGATTCCCACCAGAACGGAACAAGTCATTTGTCGACTGGCCAAAAGTGCTTGCTGATTGTGTTACAGTTGTGTTGAAAAACGAAGCCGCTGAACCCGCTGAACCTCTGCCACTACGCCGACTTGCCTGAAGTAATAATGAATAGTAAACGCACGTTGACTGGAATGTGAAAACGAATGGGTAGTACAAGACGAGGGGAATAAACAGAAGTCAGTTTCCTGCCAGATCGTAATGTATCAAAACAAAACTATCGATTGCGGGATAGCTTAAACAGCTGGAATTCAGGAGTAGAGCCATATGCGGCGATAAAATCACTCCTCCACAGAGATGACAAAGGGGGAATAAAGAGTCAGTGATGACCCATAGAATCACAATATTGCAGCAATACGTACAGTGTAGAATAGCATTACCATACAACGTTTACGACGATATCGAACTAGACACACCGCAGGAGAACACATGAACACAGAACATGCTTTCTGGCAAAGTCTAGCAGCCAACCGTTAAGCAGCAGGGGATTAATAAAATACACCTTTTTCTGATTGCTGCTAGAAGACAGGTGCGTTAGGCAGTAGGCCTCAAGACTCTAAAGTAGACTTATTTCAACTAACTAGAAAAGAATCCACAGGACCACAAAGACGGAGAAAATGAGCAAACCACTAGTGAATAAAGATTTGTAAGGAAGGGATCCCAGGCGAAGCTAATAAAATACAAACGCAGCCTAAACCCACGATATATAAATATTCAAGTTGAAACACGCTGTCCTATCTGCAACGCTATTTGAACTCACTTCCGTTGGTATCCCGCAAAATTACACCTGAATATTGCCCCGACCCAGAGCCTTAACCCGACGTCAACCAAATAACCTCGTCGACATACACCACCGAGTGTTGTGTGATTCACCCGACGATTAAAATTATGCTTTTAGTTTGAAAGTAAACTGCAGTTTCTCGACATACTGTTAACTCATACATTATGCATACACTATTGACAAAGAGACCGTTATTTTCAGTAACCAACCTATGGCAAAATTAAGAAACCGGTTTCAGCATACTTGATGAAAAAGTTCGCAGGCACTCGCACAAACTGACTTACCCCTAGTTTGATGCGCTACTTGCTTTATGGATGAAGGGAAGGGCATCGTAACCCCCCAAGATTAACATTCGTGAGTACAATGGTCTCCAAAATGAGATCGCTCTCCTACCCGGATCAGTTGATAAGACGCATATAGACGGTGTCTTGCAAGATAGTGCAGTGACGGCTATCCGGATGGAGTGCTCACATAATATGAATGAGTACTTTGGCAAACAGAACAACCGTGCTAATAGATGACAGCTACCCAGGATAGTAACCACTTGTTGTCGCCTCCTTGAGATGCTAGCATCTGCGGACGCCGGACATACAGTTTCACTTAAGGTGATCCCATGAAAGGTGAACCTTTCGGTTCATAGCTGCCATGTAACCCGAAGGAAGCAGGATTCAGATAATTCTAGGTTTCCCATGCCTATGCAGGAGCAAACGAGAAATCAAGGTTGTGTTCATACCATGAAGCTTCCAACCATAAGCTTCAAGCCTTGACCACTGGGCCGTCTCCAACAATAGTATGAAAGGAAGAGAATGTGTAAATAGATTCTACCCGAAAACAAAGTAATCAGAAATTAACTGTTCCCTCCACTCCAGGATCACTGTCAAAGCCGATAACTCAGTCGCTCCTGCTTATCGGAAAATATCACTCTGGTCGAGTTCTCATTGCAGGAACATTTGTTTTTTCATCAACTCGTAAACCCACTAACCGATCCATTTGTCCGTAAAAGCTGAAATATCCTACATCAAACATATTTGACGTAAGAAATCAACTCAGCCCTATTGTACCAAACAGACCTACCTTTTTCTTGCAACTGTCCCAACGGAATAGGAAGATGAAGCCATACACAGTTTCCTTGATCTCCTCGGAGAGCTCATATATTTCCTCAACCTGCACTCCCTTCACACCAAAGTCCTCAAGCAATAAGGTGAAGAGGCCAGGGTCACTTTCCAGCTCTCGCCACTCCGACTGGCTCATGATCACATTCGCTGAAAGAGAAACTCCATGACTGAGAAATATACATAACCTATCCAGGACAAGTACCAACACACACCAAATCGGATTGCAGGTAAAACACGAAAACTTGTGGGATCACAAGACTTCGGCTACTTTCAGGCTGCATTCACAACCCATACCTTCGATGAAAAGACACAACAACGGAAAGGATTTTTGTACTGGGCAATTTGTGAAGTGGTCGTATTATGGAGAAATGAAAAGTCCGGAACTTGCGATTGTCGTGCACAGTCAAGAACCTTTATAGTGTCCTTAGAACTGCTATAGCTTCTTCAAAAACATTAGAGACCTTACTCTATGTATCAACAGAAGCAGTCAGGGTTGCGTCACAAGTATGGAGTGTTTTTGACAAAACGATGTGGTCAGAATGTCGTAAGTTTGCATGGAGTTATCTGGTTAATTCTGCATACAGTACCGCAATACAACGTAAATCGAGTGAAGACGGCATATTGGAAGTCTCACTTAGGACAAGCACGCATTTCGCAAAGAGCGATTTTATCAAGTATGAAATTCACCTTCAGTTAGTCAGCCACCAGCTGTACATCATTTACCAAAAGGACGCTGGTTTCAGTTACTACAGTTACTACTACTATTATCATTTATTTTTGAAGAGCATGGTCACAAACATAAAAAGTGAGTGCAAGTGATGAATGCGAAAGAGTAACAGGAGAATATGGGAGAAAAGAGAGAAAAATGGGAGATATAGCCAAACATCGGAAACAATGGCGTGATTAAACACTTTGCATTAACTGATCTGAAGGAAAGGGCAACAGGGCGGCCATGCATTGAAGACGACAGCTTTGACGCACGAATGCTATTGACTGCGCCATTGAGCAACGTCGTTTACCATTGGCGAGTTCACTTCCGTCGTCCCCATTCAGGCAGGCGATAGTTGGTCAACCTGATTGAGCTTTCTGGTTAATCTTCTCGTACTTCGCCGTCGGGTCATAAACCATCAACAACTCGGTGGCTTCCACACAGAGTTGGGCACTGCAGAAAGAGATTAACCCGGCATACGGTCCCCTGACATGCGAAATAAATGTCCAAACCGGCATGACCATCGAATGAGGAATGCTGAAGTATGTCGAATGGCTTTCGGTTGCACTGGCTTGGTCCCGTGCTTGGTATGCTAGTCGACCGAATTTCCCGAGAGCGGGAACAAACCAGGGGTCAAGAAATGATTTGGCAGCAAAATATGAGAGCCACTATCAGCAAACTTAGTTGCGTTGGTCATTCCCGTCTCTCTGGATGGGAGTCCATTAACGGGAAGCACCATTGACTAGAAATATTCACAGACATGGTCATTCGCGCGCTCAATGGTGCATATCCAAGCCGCGCCTTGCGACTGTTAATTTGATGTTCTCACCAATGCTTCAGAAACACCAGTGGTTAAGCACTGATAACTTTCGTATGCCCTATATACGTACAGACCACGTTCCTGATCCCCAAAGCAGTGTACTCTGCTCTAACAGAAAAACTGTCGTCACTTCGGTGTAATAAGTGTTTGACGAAAACTGCCCTAGCATTCCCGATTCAGGAAATAATCTAGCATCCGACCAGTCCAACGTGACATATTCGACTGCTGCTACGGATATCGATATCCCCAAAAACACTATCTTCGCGTCCTAACGAACTTCCGACATTTTTCAAGGTCAAACCAAGGATATGTATTCATGGTCACCTTTTCTGTAAATTACCTGTTGTCCGGAGCAATGCAGTTGAGTCCAAGGTTATATCTTCTTACTATCTGTACTAGGTGTATTCATGGTCACCTTTTCTGTAAATTACCTGTTGTCCGGAGCAATGCGGTTGAGTCCAAGGTTATATCTTCTTACTATTCCGCTGTACTAGGAGTCGTGATCAGGCAACATTGCTGGGAATAGAATATCGTCACAGTCCGCTCATATTAGGGGTTGCTAGCTGTGTGACCGGAACATAACATATTTGGCGACGCAAGATGAAAGCAGATCAAGTCAGAATGATGTTTGAGCAACAACTTAACTCATAAAAGTACTTAAGGAACGACTGTCATCTACATCTTTGGCTTCACCGGCTGCGCCGAGCGTTCCACAGTCGGTTGACAGAATCACTGGCAGTATCAACGGGTCTTGCTATGAACCCTCGGTTAATATAACGCTTGATGCTTAGTTTCGTCGCTACGAAGACCTGATCAGGGTAGACTTTTCAATTCAGGATGATGGTTGAAACGTTCGCCTCCTGTTCCACAGACTTGGACCCGCAGAGCATGATAAGTACGCTTACTATATTCTTCCGAAGAACCCACGTGATTTCACCTTTGATGAAACGGTTCACACGCTTTCGCAAATATTTGGCGAGCAAACGTCAATTTTCAACATCTGTTATCGATGCCTGAAACTGGTGAAAAGTGACGCTTTATCACTTATTCTGGCATCGTGAAACCGGAATGCGAACGGTCCAAACTAGGATCGTTAAAAAAAGATTAGTTCAAGTAGCTGATTTTCACATACAGTCTACAATCCCCGAAGGATGCAGAAATCCGTACCCGACTCCTCAGCCGAATCGAACAGGACCCATCAATGACGCTGCAGGCCATCACCTCGGAAGGTCAACGACTGGTTAACCTGAAGCAGGACACCGCGATGGTCCAACTTGGGGGCCATGGCGGTTTCGAAGTTCATGCAATTCATCAGGCTACGCAACAGCCTGGCCCTGTCGATTCCAGCTCGACGAAATCGACCTCGCAGTATTCTGGTCCAAAGCAAAACACAAGCCCAAAGAAGGCACCACCTTCGAAATTTTGGCATTTTATAGCCTGCCACTTCATCAGGTTCTGTTCCTACAGTCAGCATCGGTGCCACCAATGTAATTCCGTGGGAAACAAATATGGGTATTGTCAGTCACGAACGCATACGGCCTCTGGTGCTTCAAAGCCAGTCCCAAACCGAAATCGAACCCTATTGGCCTCTCAGTTTACTGGATACTCTCCAAATCAACACCCCAAGTCACTAAAAGTATTTCACAGTCACCGCCAATGGTTATCCAGTCCGTTTGCAGTCGGACATTACCATCATTTCAGGGAGGCTTTGGCGCATGTTCGGGCAACCTCCGATCAGACAAATCGCTCGAACAACTCCAGTGCCTGCGGTGGAGAGCTAAAACTTTCCGGTAAGCTCCAATGCTGTGTCTCTTTTCGGGGAACTACATTCGTGGGGTCGTGTTATGTAACGGCAACTGATCTGAACTTATTGGGTCTTGGTTGGTTCGATCGCTTGGGATTAGCCAACAGTTCAATGCAGTTCGGTCTCCCACGGTGCATCCAGACCATGCATCCGACTTTATCAAGCGATTTCCATTTGTTTTTCAACATGGTCTCGATCAGTGCACTGCGACACAAGCAGCCCTCCGCCTCCTACCAGGTGCCACGCCATCCAAAGAGATCAGTGCCGCGCGCTTCCCTCCCAGTGGCAGATGCCGAACTTCAACGGCTGGAACAACAAGGCGTTCTGTCCCATGTATCCTACTCCGCCGATCGTCGTGGTGAAGAAACCCAACGGTGACATCCGAATTTGTGCTGATTTCTCAACCGGCCTAAATACAACCCCCCCCCCATCAGCATCACTATCCACTGCCAGTGCCCGACGATCTACTCACCATTCTGAACGGTGGAAAGTTCTTCGCGAAAATCAACCTTGCTGAAGTTGAAGTCGCCCCAGAATCACGCCCACTGTTGACAATCAACACGCACTGAGAGCTGTATCAATACACCCGTCTACCGTTTGGCGTCGAAACTGTCCCAGTAATTTTCCAGCAGTTGATGGACTGTAGTAACGGTATTTTCCTCAGCTTAGTTCTCGGTCTGAGCCTCCCAAGCTAGCGTTCACGTCAAAACAACCACCAAAGGTGCACAAGGTCTATTAATGCCCAAAACGAAGTCAATAACAGTTGTACAGCGCTTCGTATATATGGTGTAAGCAATTATAACTTTCTGGAAGTTTTGGCGCGTTCCGGATGCGCCATTGGCAACCGGCATTTGGCCAATACTGGGTCATGATTGACTGTTGGATCCAGCTTTTTGACCAATCAGATCTCGTCTTGATGCCGGACCGGCAAGCGTCCCGAATTCCTGGACAAGCTCGTGCGGGTCAGGCTTATCGGCAGCGCCTAAAGACG